GGTCAATTTCTTCTCTTATGTTGTGGATAAAGCCATATCTTCTCTTGAGATGAGATTTGAACAATTCAAAGACTATGAGAGATTATTTGGGTTTTTGTTTCCACATAAGTTGAGTGGAATTGAAGAAAAAGAGCTTAAGTTGTTTTGCCATCAACTTGAAAATGCACTCAAGTTTGAAGAAAGATCGGATATTGATGCCGAAGAGCTTTACATGGAGTTGAAATCATTCAACACATTGCAAACAAGTGAATTTAGCAATCCCATAGATGTTTTGAAGCATTTAAAAGAACTTGGTTGTTACCAGAATGCTTGCATTGCATATAGAATTTTGTTGACTGTTCCAGTAACGGTGGCATCTGCAGAGAGAAGTTTTTCCAAATTGAAGCTCTTGAAATCTTACTTACGGTCTACAATGTCCCAAGATAGACTTAGTGGATTGACGGTAATAGCTATCGAGAATGAAATCTTAGAGAGCATAGACTGTGAAGATGTGATCAACCAATTTGCTCTCAAGAATGTAAGGAGAACTTCTCGAATCCTCGGCTAGCTTTTACGGTATGTAATTATAACACTTTAATTATGTCATTTATTTTTTTCTTTTAATAATATTGCGTTATTTATTATTTAGATATAATTAGTTTACGTATGTGAATTTTTTAGATCATTAAATAAAAGATTTTTTGGGCCTTTTTTTTGTTTCGGCCCAGGCTGATGAATCCTCAGGACCGGCCCTGCCTCTATCTTACTATAAATACCTATGTAACCCTCAAATGGAGGGATCCGACTTCTTCTCACTAAAACACATGTGTAAAAGCTCCCGTGCATTCTACTATATTTAAATAACAAATGAGCTACATGTGTTTTCACCTACAGTCATCCCGGTTACTTTGTGTATTTTTACCTTTTACGGTCTTAAATTCAGTAAACAATCCTTGACCCGGTCTAATACTGTTTACCCAGTAAGGTAATTTACACCATCAATGGGAGACGGAGAGTGTATAAAACACCGAGCAACAAGCGTGGAAAATTACCATCAAGACCAAAATATTTATCAACTATCTTAATCTTAGCTCTTTAAATATTTCTATCTAAGGTCATATTTTCGATAATTGACTAAAGTCCATGCTAAATCACCACCTTCTAAATTTTCTTAAGTCTGCCCTCTCTCTTCCCTTACTCCCACTGTAAGTCTCTCACATCTTATTTGCGGCATTGTGCCAATGCCCAACGTAGAAGAATCTGTCTTAAAGGCATCACAAATGTACGCTATTAAGCACATTTTCAACAATGAAATTGTGATGGTACTGCAATGGATGATAGACGGAAGAATTGCCTTAAATAGCGCAAATTGGCGATGACAATGTAGACTTCCATTGAAGTCTTAAAAGACTAACATTCATATTTTAGCATTTTTATACTCCTTTACTCAAAGTGAGGGAGGTCTCTCTTATATTTAGAGACATGTGAAATATTAAGGCTTTTATTTGGAAATAATATTTTTTGTTAACGTTTTAGATATTTTTAATGGTGCATATTAAAATTGAACAACTAAGCCTATGTTTTGATGAGGGAAAATAGAAAGAATGAATGGAAAAAGAGAAATAATAACTTGTAATGTAATTTATCTTGTTTGAATGTTAAGGAAAAGATCAAAAGAACGAAAGAAATTAAAAGAAAATGAGTCTAAAACAAGCTTCAAAATTTTCTCTTCAAGTGAGGAGAAAACGTGCAAATTGCAAAGAGGGAAAAGTGTTTAAATTACTTATTTACCCTTGTTCCTTCATTTATTACTTTTACTTTTTAAAGAATAAAAATAAGAATGCCATTTTAGGTTATAACATTTTTTCTACTAATTCAAACAACCATTATTTTGTTTTTATTTTCGATTTTTTTACAACTTTTTCTCCTCAATTTTCTTCACATCCAAACAAGTTTTATATTTTTGTTTGGACGAAGATAGAAAATGAGAATAGAGAAAATAAAATGGATATAAACTATGAAGAAAATGATTATGGTTGGGATAAAATGAAGAAAAAGTGTGGAGAAAGAAAAAAAATAAAGAATGAACATATCAAAATAAGAATTCTAATTTTTTAAGGCCAAAATTATGGTTTGCATTGTCTTTATCGTACTCCCGCATACACCATATTGTCACATTGTCATCTAGTATTGCATGTTGTTGGAGCACTACCACCAATCGTTGGTCGCCAATATTGACTGATGGTTTAACGACAGTTGGCCGATCAAACTTTCATATTGCACTGTCATCATTTTTTAGTCCCTCAACTCCATCATCAATCTTCTATAGTTCTATTCTATTCCATTGTTGGCATTTTAGCTAAATTTTACTTCTTTTAAAAAAACTCTTTTTCTTCTCATGCATGGAGAGAAATTATTTCCTTGGGCTTCCCTACTTTTTTTTGCTCTCATTTTTTTCTACACTCAAATATTTTGAACAATGTGTATTTTCTCTATAAAAAAAAGAGATGAGCCTCATCTTCGAGGACCTCTTCAGAATTGCAAACGGTCACTGAAAGGAGGTAAATTGGACTTTGGGCACAAATTGATGCAAATAGTGCACCAGACTCTGTATAATACGGAGTACTTAACCATTCAAAGGCAAATCTCTTAACCATTCAGACATCTGAACCATTAAGAGACCGAAACAAACAGTCTGAACCATTAAGTGTTGAATCATTCAGACATCTGAACCATTAAGAGGCTGAAACAAACATCCCCTAAATCTCTCTCTATCTAGTGTCTGTTTCGTTGTGTTTTTTAATTGAAATTGTTGGAAATTGTGTTTCTGTGATTGATAGTGTCCTCAAGCGGAGGGTGAAATAATTCAACAGAGCCTCGTTTTTTGCATCTTCAACAGAATAATCAGAGAAAAGGGCGGAGAACGATGGAGTTGAATGAAAAGTGTTTGGACTCAGAGTTTTGGCATGCCTGTGCCGGAGGGATGGTTCAGAAGCTTCGGGCGAACTCGAAGGTCTTCTACTTCCCGCAAGGGCATGCAGAGCACCCGCTCATCTCCAATTTGCCAAAAATCCCCCCTCTCCAATTTAAATTTTTTATTTAAATTTAAATTAAATAAAGAAGAAGAAAAAAAATAAAGAATGAGTGCGTGGGGGTGGCGGAGGGCTGGGAAAGAGGAAGAGAGAAAAGGGGTTAAAATAAAAAATTTAAATTTATAAAATTATAATTTGACCCCAAATGACCTGAAGGTGACCTAGAAACTGCCTATTAGACCACCGGTGAAAAAACGTGTACTTTTGTAAAAAGAATTAAAGTTTATATATGGAAGTGAAATAACAATGAAAATTTACCTTACCAACAAAAAGTCAGAGTTTTGCGCCACCATGACTTTGTGCGACTTTCACTTCCTCAGTCGCTAATTCAACAATAAAAACCCTTCACCGGCCGCACCCTTTCTCCATCTACGACCACCACAGGGCACCAGCCGCTCCCAGGTTATACGCGCCGCCGCTGCATTCTCCATCCCTCCGCCGTCGTTTCTCACATTTCCGAAAACTTCACCGATCAAGTAGAAATAAACCGAAATCAGTTCACATTCATAATTAATTTCTCATTTTCTAGACATGGCAGAACCTGCCCCGAATCGTTTCCCCGCTCGTTCTCAAACCAGTTTCTCGATCTGCTGATATTTGAATTTCAGATCGAGGACTCTGAGATCGCCGACCATGGGATTCGAGAAAGACGAAGCTAGTTCGTCTTCTCATGTTCTCCACATACCCAGAGAAGACACCCCGCTGCTCTCGAGTCAACACCCTCTGTCGTCCCCGAGCAAAACCCTAGCCAATGTCTTGATGTCACTCGTCGGGTCAGGCGTGCTTGGTCTGCCGTACACCTTCAAGAGAACTGGGTGGGTGATGGGTTCTCTGATGCTCTTCTCCGTGGCCTTTGTGACCTACTATTCTATGATGCTGTTAGTTCATTCGAGGAGAAAGCTCGAATCCGATCCGAAATCCCCGAAGCTGCCTTCTTTTGGAGATCTCGGGTTCGCTGTTTGTGGGCTGATTGGAAGATTTGCTGTTGATGTTATGATTGTTCTCTCCCAAGCTGGATTTTGTGTTGGCTACATGATTTTCATAGCAAATAGTTTAGCTTTCTTATTCAATTATGCATCTGTTGAACACCCAAGCCCTAAAAATTTGGGAATTTCCCCAAAATCTGTGTATATATGGAGCTGTTTTCCGTTCCAATTAGGGTTAAATTCAATTCCCACACTTACCCATTTAGCACCTTTGAGCATATTTGCTGATGTTGTTGATTTGGGAGCGTTGGGTGTGGTTTTGGTTGAGGATGTTTTAGTTTACCTGCAGAATAGGCCTGTTGTTCAGGCCTTTGGTGGGCCTGGCGTGTTCTTCTACGGTTTTGGCGTTGCTGTATATGCTTTTGAAGGGATTGGAATGGTGCTGCCCTTAGAATCAGAAACCAGGGACAAGGGTAAATTTGGAAAAATCTTGGGTTTATCAATTGCACTCATCTCCATGATGAATGCTGTGTTTGGGGTTCTGGGTTACTTTGCATTTGGTGATGAGACTAAGGAGATCATCACCACTAATCTCGGGAGGGGTCTTTTAAGCAGTCTCGTGCAAATTGGTATGTGTGTTTATCTTTTGATTACTTTCCCGCTGATGATGAACCCTGTTTATGAAGTGTTGGAAAGGAGACTGTGCGAGAGAAGATATTCGATTTGGCTAAGATGTTCCGCGGTGTTTGTGGTCAGTTTGGTTGCTCTTTTAGTGCCTAACTTTGCGGATTTCTTGTCACTGGTTGGGAGTAGTGTGTGCATTGTGTTGGGGTTTGTGTTGCCGGCTTTGTTTCATCTAATTGTGTTCAAGCAAGACATGAGTTTTCTTGGATTGGCTTGTGATGGAACACTCATTGTTCTTGGCATATGTTTTGCTTCCTATGGGACTTTCTCTTCTCTCATTGACATCTTTGCAATAAAGGCTTAAAGTGTTTCGATATTGGGCTCTCATGCTTGGGAGCGTAGAGATTGTGTCGGTCTAGTGCGAACGTCTTACTTTTACCAACATTTGTAGTACTTTTTATACATTACACATTTGTTGGAAAGTAAGGTTTTTGTTTGGAATGTGTTTGTGTTCTTTGTCAAGATGTTGCTTGACTGTTTAGTTGTTACAAAAGTCCTTGTATTATTCATTCTCTAGTGACTCTCAGATTGGTTACTTAGCTGGTAAGGCAGTGAATAGAGTAAGTTTTGAGTTTGATTTTTGTCATTTGCGTTAGGAAACAATTACGTTAAACATATAATCTCTGCAAGTAGTAAATGCAGATTTCATCCTTTGCCTGTCAGTCTGTGATTAAAGATTATTATTCTCTAGTGACTATCTCATTCGTAATGAGGGGTCTTTAGAGATGGGGTCATCCTTTGATGTGTATTTTAGTCGTCTGTCAACGTTCACTCTGAGGGTGTAAATGAGAATGCTTTTTTTCTAATTCTTTGTCTTACTCATTTTTTATTACTTTAGAATGAGGTTTTACATTTAATTATTACATGAACTAGTCTATCCAACTATTTATTTTGGAATGATGGACCATGTTCTTATAAAACAAAAAAAAATTATTTTTTAAAACATTTAAAAAAACTTTAATTTTCAAAAAATAATACAAAATATTTATTGAAAAAAAAAACAATAAAGAAAAAAAGTTGGAATTAATAAGACAATGGGCCAGTTTGGGAATAACGTTAGAAATTAGCATTAGCGTTTTGAAAAAGTTATCTACGACCAACGCGTTTAACATTAGCGTTTTTCAAAGTAATTTGCACCATTAAAATAAATTTTATCCAAAACGCTAATGTTAATCTCTAACGCTATTCTCAAACAAGTCTTAAATTTATCATAGGACCATGCTAGGGTGCCACCACATGGGTGCTATCATGGCTGCACCCATGCTTCACACAGACAAACACAGACGTGTCTGTGTCGCACAGACGATTATTGTATGCGTTTGTCTGTGTGAAAAATGGGTGAACCATGGTAGCAGCATTTTCCTTTATTCATATCACAAGTTCACAACGCTGCCATAAACGGCTTCCCTCTGACTTTTCCTTGCACTTTCTCAGTCGCCGATTCAACAATAAAAGCCCTTCACAGGCCATATCTTTCCTCCTCCTCCACCACCAGCCGCTCTCCTTTCAAACCCGCCGCCGCTGTTGCTTCTTCTGCCGCCGCCATTCTCCATCCCAGCTCCGCCGTTTCTCTCATTCCCGAAAACTTCACCGATCACGTAGAAATACACTAAAACCAGTTCTTATTCGTGAATAAGTTCTCATTTTCGAGACCTGTGTAAATCCGCAAACCCTGCCCCGAATCATCCCCCCCCACTCGATCTCAATCCAGTTTCTCGATCTGTTGATATTTGAATTTCAGATCCAAGAATCCGAGATCGCTGACCATGGGATTCGAGAAAGACGAAGCGAGTTCGTCCTCACATGTTCTCCACATACCCAGAGAAGACACCCCCCTGCTCTCGAGTCAAAAACATCTATCGTCCCCGACCAAAACCCTAGCCAATGTTTTCATAGCGATTGTCGGATCAGGCGTGCTTGGTCTGCCGTACACCTTCAAGAGAACTGGGTGGGCGATGGGTTCTCTGATGCTCTTCTCCGTGGCCTTTTTGACCTACTATTCCATGATGCTGCTAGTTTATTCGAGGAGAAAGCTCGAATCCAATCCCAAATCCCCGAAGCTGCCGTCTTTTGGAGATCTGGGGTTCGCAGTTTGTGGGCCGATTGGAAGATTTGCTGTTGATGTTATGATTGTTCTTTCACAAGCTGGATTTTGTGTTGGCTACACAATTTTCATAGCAAATACTTTAGCTTTCTTATTCAATTATGCATCTGTTGAACACCCAAACCCTAAAATTTTGGGGATTTCCCCAAAATCTGTGTATATATGGGGCTGTTTTCCATTCCAATTAGGGTTGAATTCCATTCCAACACTTACCCATTTAGCCCCTTTGAGCATCTTCGCCGATGTTGTTGATTTGGGAGCAATGGGTGTGGTTCTGGTTGAGGATGTTTTAGTTTACCTCCAGAACAGGCCTGTGATTCAGGCCTTTGGTGGGCCCAGTGTGTTCTTCTATGGTCTGGGCGTTGCTGTATATGCTTTTGAAGGGATTGGCATGGTGCTGCCCTTAGAATCAGAGACCAGGGACAAGGGTAAATTTGGAAAAGTATTGGGTTTATCGGTGGCACTCATCTCTCTGATGTATGCTCTGTTTGGAGTGCTGGGTTACTTTGCATTTGGTGATGAGACTAAGGACATCATCACCACTAATCTTGGGAGGGGACTTTTAAGCTGTTTCGTGCAAATCGGTTTGTGTGTGAATCTCTTCTTTACTTTCCCACTGATGATGAACCCTGTTTATGAAGTGTTGGAAAGGAGATTCTGCGAGGGAAGATATTCGATTTGGCTAAGATGGTCCGGGGTGTTTGTGGTCAGTTTGGTTGCTCTCATGGTCCCTAAATTTGCCGATTTCTTGTCACTGGTTGGGAGCAGCGTGTGCATTGTGTTGGGGTTTGTATTGCCTGCTCTGTTTCATCTCATTGTGTTCAAACAAGAGCTAAGTTTTCTTGGATTGGCTTGTGATGGAGCAATCATTGTTCTTGGTATATGTTTTGCATCCTATGGGACTTTCTCTTCTCTCCTTGACATATTCTCAATAAAGGCTTAAATCACTTTATTATTGACTCTCATGCTTCGGAGCGTAAAGATTGTGTCGGTCTCTTGTGCGAACGGCTCACCTGTACTTCTATCAACATTTGTAGTACTTTTTATGCATTACAAATTTGTTGAAAAGGTTGTTGTTTGAAGTGTGTTTGTGTTCTTTGTCAAGATGCTGCTTGACTGTTCAGTTTCAGTTGTTACAAAGTCATTTCTGTCTTGAATTCTTTTGTGTTTTTTTTCTTTGTTTCAAACAACTCTGCTGTGTATTTGTGTCCTCATTCTAAGTTCACTCTCCAATGATAAATAGGCAGTGGTACTAATAGAGATCTGAGATCTCTATTAAGATTTTAAGATATTACTCCAATTTGAAAAGGTTGCTTAGATTTTACCAAAGATGATCGTTTAAAAACACATTAACCAAAGCTGATTCATAACCCTTAAAAGAAGATGAAAAGGTACAAATGTGCATATGTACAACACTCATTTTTTGTTCATACTGACTTCTAACTACATTCACACTTGTCTTGGTGATGTTAGTAAAGTCTTTCATAGATAACTTTTGTTAGTGTAAGGTAAAAACTAGAAATATAAGTGGTATACAATTTGGCGTATATCAAGTGGTGTACATAAGAACATAAATGGTGAAATGAAATGATTCATATCCCCCAAACCAAGAATTTGAAGTTTGCAATTGCAAGCCCGCTAGGGCCTAGGAGCATTGTCACAAGCTTCGAATTCCAAGAAGATCGCGCCAATGTCCTAACATCAAAGATGTTTGAGTATCACTATGGCAACAAATGCATCCGACAAGACATTAGCGGAGGATCTAGCTAAAGCGTGATTACAAAAGCAACCGACAAGACATTGGCGAAGGATTTAGCTCCAGCATGAAAGAAAATGGCTAAACTGCTAAAGGCTAAAACCTAGAGAGAATTGTATATATACGAGTTTGTGCTTGGAAAGTATGGAGTATCTAAACAAAACGCAATTGCCGGTAATCTTGAGTAAGAGTAGACAAAAATACATATTCGACATTGTTCTGAACCAGACCGACATTACACTGAACCGAAAAATGAATTTTCAAATGGTTCTAGTAATTTTTTCTACATCACAAACCGAATTGTCCCTTTATATAATGGTATGGGATAGATTCTAAAAAAATAAGAACCAAAAATTTCGAACCAAATCATTACAATAGAAATGTTTTTAATTATATACTGAACATTTTGTTGGTTACTTTTTACTAATATTTTTTATTCTTATTTCTTAGTAAATAGTAATGATTGTAACTTAATCTCACAAAGAACAACTGTAACTTACTTAATATCACAAAGTAATTTAAAATAAATTACTTAATTACAGCTCATTTTATGCTACTTTTATTGAAAATATTCAATTGACAAATACATTTTTTTTAAAAATTATAATAAAACAACACACGTATTGAATAAAGATGTATAAACATATGTTAATGCTAAATCCATCTCATATTTGGCTATATCTCTTTCTTTTGGGCATGTTTGGATATTGGCTTTTCAAATGGCTTTTGGCTGTTTTGACTAATTTTGGCTATTTTGACCCGTCAAACAACCAAATAGAGTGTTTGGCAAATGGCTATTGGAGTTAGCTGTTAGAGTCCGAAAAGTTAAAATATGAAAAGCTGGGAAGAGTAGGCTTTCGAGTTGGTTGTTGGAGATTAATTATTTATTGTATAAATATTAAATAAATAAATAAGTAAATAAATTAATAAATACCAAGTAAATAAAAAACAAACAAACGAAAAAGTGAGTAAATAACACATCCCGAAATGAAATTTACTTAGAATTTACGAGGTATTATATTTTTTTAAAAAATTATTTTATTCAAAAATTGGTACAGAAATAAAAAACTTACATATTAAAGAAATTTTATAATAAATATAATTTGTTAAATAGTCAAATCCATCAAAATGGAAGGCAAACACTGTCCTTTTTTAATAGCAAAACTAAGTAAGCAAAAAATATTGACTCTACTCAAAACATTTTTTATATAATAAATATAATTTGTTAGATATTCTCTCTCTCTCTCTCTCTCTCTGTGTATGTATGTGTGTGTGTGTGTGTGTGTATATATATATATATATATATATATATATATATATGTATGTATGTATGTATGTGTGTGTGTGTAGATTTTGGTTCAAATAAGAATAAGATCTAATGAAAGAAATAAGAATAATTAGAGCATCTCCAATGGGGCTTGGTATATGTGGCTTGCTATTGCTTTTTTTTAGCTAATGAATAGTGGTATAACAAGTCACTTTTTGCTCCCTTCTCCAACCATGACTTGTTATATTATGCTCTCTCCTTCCAATAATGTTTTACTCATGTTTGATCAACGTGCAAAACTCCATGATCTTAAAATGATTTTATTTATAAATTGTTAAATAAAATACAAAATAAAAAATTATATTTAAAAAACTACATCAAAAAATTTATAAAATAAGAGCTGACAAAAATTTATGTTATCAAATAATCAATGAAAATACACAAATAAATAAGAGTTATCGAGAGGCCGTAATAGTAAATGGGTAATTCTTTTTTGGACGGAGGGAGTAAGTAACAAATATATTTTGTTCCAATAACCATTACTCCCTCCGTCCCAATTTAAATCGTCTGTTTTGACTTTTGGGAATATTTAAGGAAAATAAGAATTAGAGTTGATTTTCCGAAATTGACATTACTTTTTAGGAGGGGTGATGATAAATGGAAGATAAAGTGGAGAAGAGTGACTTATTTTAGGGGTAGTTTAGGTATTTTGTTTTTAAAAGTTTACGAAAACAACTAACAGGCAACTTATTTTGGGACGGAGAAAAAAGACAAACATGTAATTTAAAATGGGACAGAGGGAGTATAATACACCAAATACAATAATTCTTGAATTGTATTTATTCCTGTAAACGTAAAAAAAAAGTAATAAATATGGAGTATGTGTCAAAGAACCGATTCAATCAAAAGCTCAAACTTGTAGTTATGTCTAGAAAAAGTTATTTATATTCTAATAGTATGTAATTAAAAAATATAAAATAAAATATTTCTATTTAAAATAAAATAAACCAAAGAACTCTTCCTGCGGTAAAAATCACATTCACATTGAAAAAACAAAAAAATGTTATACGTATTTAATTTGTGCAGTATATATCATTGTAAAAGAAATTTACCTTAATTTATGTTTAGCTATATTCTAGCATGCTTGTTATAAATAGCAATGTGTTTTCATTTTTTAGCAAGCTAGTCAAATTTTGAATACCCCTTGGAGCATAAAATTTTGTATATGCTTGTCAAATTATAACATATAGCAAGTCATTTTGCTATGGTTGGAGATGCTCTTATGTACCGTTGGATTAAGCCCATATGATTCATCATCTACGCATCTTACAAAGGGTAAGGAGGTATTTTACATTGAAATCCGTTTCTCTCTCTCAATCCCGTCTTCATCTTCCCGAGATCATCGCATACACTCCATCTTCCAGATTCCTTCCAAATCTTGCGTCATAATCTGGTAGGCGAATCCTAATTTATCAATTTTGATTTCTAATCTCTCTCTTGAAGGTTATTATAGTTACCGATTTCAAGAATCCAATTTTTTGTTCTTCTTCTTCTTCTAGTTATTAAATGATGGGTCCATAAAGACGAGGCCATGGATCTGTATGAAGTTCGACAATCAAGATGTAAAAAGCATAGATGATGTTTGATGAATTGGCCGACTGATTCTCTTGCTAATTTAGGTACGACTAATCATAGATTTACTCCTCATGAATTCACATTTTTGAATTATTTAATTTTATTCCTTTTGCTTTGGTGTGTCATTGGAGGAAGAAATCTTCTTGTTCGGCATTCTAATCACTTCTCAATTTGGCATTCCACTCTTTATGTTTTGATTCATGTTTCAATTTTCTCATTCTTTTTGCTAAACATGATATTTTTTGTTTGACAGCACACAATTTCAAACTCATTTGTTCATGTGAATTGTGCTTCTTGTTAATTTTCTGCTCATTTAGGTTGAATGAATTACAGTAAGTCTTTATTTACGTAGAATTTTTTGTTTTTGTTTTTGTTTTTTGCTGGATGAATTTGGAATTTATTGTGCAAAAACTCCATTTAGTTGGTGCAGGGAGCAAAATGGGACATAGATGCAGTATTATTATCCTTGGTTGCACATTGAGTAATATATTTGTTAGAGTTAGAGATCCAATATAATTGGAAAATTGGATGCTTCCTTCTTTGTTTTTTTTTGCAAATGAATTTCAAAGTTTAACACCTCTGTTGAGTCTCCCTTTGTGCTGGTCTAGATTGGTTTAGAAGAACAATGATCCACCTTTTTCAAAACCCCTTTTTATGTCTTCTTTTATGCTAGTCTGCATTGATGTGCTGTGAAATTTTAAGATTTTCTTCTATTAGGCATAGCATTGTAGAACACTAGTACTGCACTCCACCCCTTTGTATCTGCATTTACGTTGAGCACAACCCCCACCTCTAGTTACATTTCAAGGCATAGAAAAAAGAAAGCAAAACATTTGTGGATTGTGGTTATATTGTTATATTCTTGAAAATTGTTGGCCATGATAATGTTGATGGGAGAATTTGGTGTTCAATAGGGATGTACATTATTGTTTGTTTTTTTGCTTTTTTTACTTTGCTTTTTTCTATCATTGTGCATTATTGAATCAAGTTAATGCATTTATAGAAGAGGGCAATACATTTTCAAAATCAAGCTAAAGGATAATATAAAATCAAAATTGATGCATCTTGGGGAGAATTTCTGATGCATTTGTATAATGTACATAGTGATTTTTTCGCAAATGATGATGCCCTTAAACTTTTCTGTTAAATTCTCATCTTAAAATCTATATTTAATAGGTCTAAGTGCAAGTTGTGAGTCCCTTTAAAAAAATCGGTGCCTATTAGCTCAAATGGTAGAGCAGTACGTACTACGGTTGTATTATAACCGTAGCAGTACATACTACGGTCGTATTATAATTGTGCATTATTGAATCAAGCTAATGCATTTGTAAAAGAGGGCAATACATTTTCAAAATCAAGCTAAAGGATAATATGGATAGAAATCACCCCTAATAGGACTAAAACATTGTGTTTATCCCTAAAATAGGAGTTCATGTTTTTTATCCCCCAACTAGGACCTCTCCCGCCACATTCTTTCTTTCTCTCCCGATTTTGCCCTCTTTTTCCTTTCCGCGTCACACTTCACAATCCTGCCTCGTCTACATTACAACTCTTTGTAATACACATTACCACATTACATACTATGACACTTTACATTACAATGGTTCGTAATATTCATCACCACATTACAGATTATGATACTGGTAATATCCACATTACATACTTTACTAGACTATCATGAATATTTTAAATTGCATATTAACCATTGAATATTTTTAATTTTTTGTTATGGATTTAAAGTCAACATGTCCATATGAGCTTAAAGGACAAAACATGCACATGTTGTGAATTCCAACTTGATCAATTTATTTGCATTCATGCGGTGGCTGCTATTGGGAGACGTCTCGGCTTATCTTGTTATGATTTTATCTCTCCTTTCTACAAAATTGAGGCATTAGTATATATGTACATATGCTGGTATAGTCCATGAGTGGAGATCCAAACACTATTTGATATCACTTTATGTTGCATTACATGACTTTTTTTAGTATGATTTAATTGTGTTAAAATTGCTTGTACTAAGATGTAATGTACTTTTTAAAATGTCCTCCCCTTGTTGACACTTTTATTTCATAATTTCGTTTCATCTAAATAACCTTTGTCATTCAACGCTGTGTGCAGTGCCACAAATTGGCATATACATGACCAACTTTAAGGACTCTTATAAATTGTTGTACGTGTAAATGAGAAAACTAAAATTTCATATTGTAAATGGCCACCTTATGTCAACAATAATGCAACACTTAACTTTAATGATAATATATTTATTTTATACTCCTATTTAGTAGTATAGGAGTATTTGGTAGTTAATGTTTGCAGCAGAGATGAAAGGGAGGGTAGGGTATTTTGGGTATGGCCATGCAAACTAAGTCCTATTTGGGGAATTTATGTTTTGGACTTCTATTTAGGTATATTTGATATGTTTTAGTCTTATTTAGGTTTTTTTTCCCAACACTCTACATAGGCATTTGTTGTAATATACATGATCATGATTAATAATGTAAATGTTTTTTAACTCATATTTTGGAGAAAAAAATATGAAACTTCTATTTTGTTATATTTTCATTTTTTTACTCCTACTTTAGAGAAAGTACGAACGTAGGAACTCCATGTTTTTATTTACAAAATAAAAGTTTGTACTGTGGTAATGTGACATGTGGACATGTGGTTCAAGTACTTGTGGTCTTGTGGACATGTAGCGCGACCAGTGAGGAGAAAATGGTTCTATGTCATAAATGGCGAGGGGTATTTTGGGTATGGCGACGCAAATTAAGTCCTATTTGGAGGATTTAAGTTTTGGAGTCCTATTTAAGTATATTTGATATGTTTTAGTCCTATTTAGGGTTTTTTCCGAATCAAAATTGATACATCTTGTGGAGAATTTCTGATGCATTTGTATACTGTACATAGTGCTTTTTTTCACAAATGATGATGCACTTAAAATTTTATGTAAAATTCTCATCTTAAAATCTATATTTGATAGGTATAAGTGCAAGTTGTGAGTCTCTTTCAAAAAATTGGTGCCTATTAGCTCAAATGGTAGAGCAGTACGTACTACGGTTGTGGGTTCGAATCCCGCATAGGCAAACTATTTCTCAAATTTGTATTATATTTAGTCTGAATACAATACATTCTTAAGCTTTTTCACCTCACAAAAGGTTACTCAGGTGTCATTATTTACTAATCCACAAATTAATACAAAAATTAAATAAAATATAAAAGCAAGACACAATGCATATATCAGATTATCAGCTAGCATAGTGCAATAACATTAAAAAGTCTTTATATATTTTAAAGTTTTTACTTTAAAATGTGAGAAACTTATACTACCTCCGTCCCATAGTATTTGTCCACTTTCATTTTTACACACCATCCAATACATTTCTTTAATCCATTTTATCTTATAATTTGTATATTAAAAAATTACAGAAATTATATATTAATAATCTATATGTTAAGAAAAATCAAACAAGATCACACATGACTATATTTAGGCTTACACATTGAGAGAATTTGATGAGTCAAAATGCTTAGATGAACAGTTTCTAAAGTCAAAACTGGACGAATACTCCGGGACGGAGGAAGTAATAGAATGTGATAATATAAAAAATAACCAAATATATAGTTAACCAAAAAATGATAAAAATAACGTGACAAGAAAGTATTATTTATAAATTTGAAAAAAAAAATCAAAGTAAATAAATAAATCTTTTCCACCGTGTGAAATGTATTAAAATAATGCATATGAGGAATAAAGAGTGCAATAGAAAAAAAAAATTTAATATTAATTTTTCTTGAAGAAAAATGGCAAAAAAAATAAAAAAGAGAAAAAAAAAGATAAAAACATTACAACAGATCCAAAAAAGAATTTAAGTGGAAGTCAAATATATGGAAACATTAATTTTGGAAATGGATAATTGCGTGTCATCCATGACCATTTTAAATGCACTACGATTTTACAATAATTGCGTGTCATCCATGACAATTTTAAATCCATTTTGTAGAAGGCTTCCATCCATTGATCATTTGAGATCAATGAATCTCATTCATTCTTATTTCTTTTGTAGAAGAGCATTCTTATTAGAACCCACCCCTATATATATATATATATATATATATATATATATATATATATATATTGCAAATATGAATTGTACTATATTGCATAACATATTATATTTTATAAATTTTAGTTCTTGTTATATAAATTATATTACACAAATCATATACATAAAATTAACTTTATAAATATAATTACATCTACAACAGCTATTTAAAAGCAGCTAAATTTGCCAAACATTTTTTTGTGAACAACTAATGCAATTGAACGGTCAAAATAGCTAACTCCACCACCCATTCAAACCAATAAACACAAACAGCTAACATCCAACCGCCAACTTACAAATAGAACATTTATGTCGAACAAACAAGTTTACTATTAATGCTTGAAATCGGAAATGAAAAAAAGTGAAATGACAAAATTGTCCATTTCTTATTTAAAATAGAGTATATTTAACCAATTAGGGAGTACATTTAGCATCACCCATAGAAATATCCAATTTTTTTGATCTTGTTAACTGTTTTATAAAATAAAAATATTTTTATCCCGAAAAACAATAAAGCATAATTTGACATTAGTATGGTTTTAGTTCTAATTCAACCAAACCTTAATCTTGACAAATTGTGGCACATATTTCAAGGAGGAAGGTGCCTCATGTTCACCTTGCAATCCTTGCTAATAAAATGTCTTCGCAAAGAGTACTTTTTTTCTTTTGAGAACCCCAAAGAGTACTTTTACTATCATTCAAACTCGTCTTTGTTTGACGAAGACAATGATGAAGATCCATTTTTGTTTTTGCAAGTATACTTTAGACGATTACAAGTTTGCAATTTTCCAAAAACAATATACTTTTGCTGAGACCAAACAAACTTCCAAAACCCAATGCCACTCAGAGTGTAGAAAAAGTCAATCTGAGTAACCGGACAAATATTTTGAGACGAAAAGAGTAGTTTGAATTGGTAAGGGGTATATGGTTGAATCTAAAAGGAGAAGCATTTGTAACATGCATTTCACGTAAGAGTACAACACGGAACACCAAGCCTCAAATGTGATAGAGTGTTTCAAGTGTGTGTCTCTATGTGTGCGTGCACGCGTGTCTATGCTCTGTATATATGTACGTATACACACACACACACACACGTGTGTGTGTGTGTGTATCAATAATTCAGTATTAAAATACAAAACAAACCGGTCACAAAAAGATTGATGTGATGAATCGTTACAAAGCTATATATCAAATATAAACAACCACAAAAGCCAACAATTTCTTTCTTATATAAATATTATGAATAAAAAAGAGAGAAAGAGAAAGAAACTATTGCCGGTGTCAACGACGACCACAATTGGATATCAGAAATGACTGACCATGACTTAGATCATGGTCAGACAAATAACAAGAATTAACAACAATATCACTCCACACACTTACAAGAGCCCTGCCAAATGTTGATTAGAACAGCAGCTCATTTTATTCACTTATTCATGTTTTTGTTTTTCTCTGTACCAGGTAAAGAGGATGGACAAACTCGAAAATGTACAACTTCCAAGTAGGCAACAAGCATGGAAAATATGCTTTAGTAAATGAGCTTGCCTGCGAAAAGGGAAATAAAGGGATACAAAGTCAGGAGCTTGCTTTCAATTCGTGTGTAAGGTGGAATGAATAATGATAAATACGCTAAACATTTTTAATGGAAAGTAAGTTTTTTACTCTCAAATTTGTGTTTGGGGGGAGGTTTTTTTAAGTGGGGAGGGGAGGAGGTAATTTAAACTCCGTATTTAAATTGATGGAATTTAATATGCTTATGGTAAAAAGTTAATGACTACAAGACAATGACTTTACACTAATTTATCGTTTTATTATGAAACATTATCAAGTTAAAGCACTACTTTTTTGTTTTTAATGAATTCTGTAGAATTTGATAAGAGGGAAAAAATATTCTGTATATTGAATTGTTCTGTGAATACAAAGATCTAACCCCATTTATATAGGAAGAGAATAAAGCATATAAGTAAACTTCTATTCCTACCATATTTCTATTCCTACTAAAACAAGAAATAAACAAACTAGGAAAGATACTAAATCGAATCCCAAAGGGATTCAGTTTCCTTCTTCGATATGACTTCCTTCTTCTGTCGCCAACACCCCCCCTCAAGCTGGAGCATGGGAGTTCAACATGCCCAGCTTGGACATCAAAATATTGAACAAAGCAACAAAGCTTGAGGAAGCCGCTGCCATCGTTGTCCGAGTGTCATCTAGACACTTCAGTTTTTTTCTTCAACGGAGACGCCAAGCTTTTCGAATCCGCCGAATAATCCGTCGAGTAAAGGAACGTCATTCTTTTCGAACCTTCACCGTATTCGAACAAACAGGGGGAACGCCATTCTTTTCGAACACCCTGAACGCCGACTTTTTTTTTTTCCCTGCTAAGGAAAGAGTTGTCTGTCTCTGTAGAACAACCCTTGTCGGACAACTTCTTCAAGATTGATGGTTGGGCGGGATTCCTCGACAGCAATGTTCTTCGTTGAAGGAATTCATGATATTCTTTAGTGAGGGAGAACAGTCAAAGAAAATCAAAAATTACAACATCCCACCGGTAGGCATTGAATTGTGTATGCCCACCGGCAGGGGAATAAGCGTGTTTGAGGTCTCAAGAATTCAGAACTCGCTCTGATACCATGTAGAATTTGATAAGAGGGAAAAAATATT